ATATATATATATATGTATTATATATATGTGTGTATATATATAAATATGTTTATATATGTGTATATATGTATATCATTTCAATATATATGTATGTGTATAATTTTTAAAATTTTATTTTTATTTTTATTATTTTATTTTTATGTTATATTAATTAATATTATTAAATATTAGGGATTGATGATGTGGCAGATGACTAGGATGCCATGTCAGCATTAGATAATATATTTTTTCGTTCAGGGTTTTATTTGCCAATTTTTAAAAGTATAGAGTTTTAATTGCCAATTTTTAAAAGTACAATGTTTTTTTGGATCAAAAAAAAGTACAGGGTTTAAATTGCGACGAGAGAAAAGTACAGGGTTTTAAATGGAATTATCCCTAATATGTATATAAGTCTATAGGCATACCGCATTTTGGTGAAATTCAGAAGGGGATCCAAATCAAAATCAGTTTCACGATAATTCATCGGATATCTGTGCGGATCGGGTTTTTGACTTTTCAAACCGGTTTGGTCCGGTTTAGGACACAGATATGGGTGATGAACAATTTGATTAAATAGCTTATAAGATTTGGTTAGGTCCACTCTTTGGTACTGAATGGACAACTTTCATTCTCTAATGTTATGGGCAGACAGAGACACCTGCATTTGAACAACTACCATTGAGTTCGTATTAATTGACGCTCTCTTCCAAACCCCACTTGGTACTAAAGCCAATTTATTGCATTCAAAACACAAATTAGATTTTCCAGACACTTTGGACGTTGACTTTTGATACACACTCTATTCATGTCATGTGTGTATGCACCTCTTTACATATGTAATGGTTAAATATGAAATGAAAATCATCAAAATGTCAAATCAAAGTACTGAAATCCGAATCTGGTGTATATGGATGGACAAAGCTAAATTAGTAGCTACTAATTTAGATCACTCAACTAATACCATTCGAATAAATTCTTATTAAGCTTATTAATTAATCAATTAATTAATGGCATTAGTTGGTAAATATTAATCACATGTAAATATCGTCTGTGTTATTCTCATGGTAAATATTAATCACTTGTAAGATAAAATTTTCTACATCCTCTCTTGATCTATTGGTATACTTTTATTTTGTCTAATAATGGTTTTTTCATATGTGTAATTTATTTTCTAATTTTCATCAAATTATTAGTTGGGCCGATAATAATATTTTTTAGATCCTTTATTTTTCGGCGCACTCTCTTTTGCCTGGTTGCTGCATTCATTTGTTTAAATTGCTGAGTTAATCACATGCTAAACTCGTGATTAGTTACTAATCCTAATCACCTGTTTTTTTATGGACCACGTGTTTAATTAAACGCCGAGCTTCACGCGGATTCAACCAACGGGACAGGTAAACTATAAACGACGACGTCTTCTTCGGTTCGAGACCAACTAACCTTCAAAGATCCTTTAGCTTCTCCAACTAACGTTCAAACACCCACCAACAACCAAAAACCAAATCTGCAGTCATGTACTCCGCTTCAGTTCCAGCCTCACCCCTCCACCAACCAGATTATGCCACGTGTATATGTTCACGTGACACGTGGATCACCCTGTTCCCCCCCCTCTACTTCGTGGGACGCGCCATAATCAGACGGATAAGCCGTGTAAAAGTAGACATTCTTCTTCTTCGTCTCGATGAGCTTCGAACTGTCACGAGTTCACAGTGAGTCTTTTTTCTCGATCCTCTTTGATTCTGAATTCGAAAGCTTTAGCCTCTGAAAACAGATTCGTAAATCGATTATTATACTGTGATTCTTTGTGGCATCTGGGTGTATAAAGATTCGATGATTCTCTGTTCAAACCTCCATATATGACCAGTCCGATGATTCTGAAGTCTCTCAGAGACAAAAGTAGTGATCTTGGGGATCATGTCCAGCTTTGGTTTGAGAGCCCACTCCCTGAACAAGAGGTCGTGGGTTCAACAACCAGAGTATGGAGATTTCGCCTCCGGCCACCTTCGGGTGCTTCATATCCCACACGTGGTGTCGGTTGTGCGTGTGGGTCGGGATTAGTCTGGGTCCTTTGTGTCTGGGATTACCCGGTTATCAAAAAAAAATAGTGATCTTTTAACTATGTCTAGGGTTTAGGGCTCATGTTCACGTGTGTTCCTGATCTGGGTTTGGTTTCATATGATCTGTTTGATTCGAATTCTTCGATATTACTCGAAATGTTTCGATGAAACATACCATGAGAACATCTTGCTTCCTTCTTAGGTTAGACCTCCATTAAGTTCTTTGGATAATTTTCTAACCCAGAACTTGTGATATCTTCGTTTCTATTGCATTACAATGGTGACAGAAATCTGTGTGAAACTTTCAGGTTATCGGAAATCGGGTTTTGCAGAAAGAGCGTAGAATTTTGATACCTTAAGATTGAGAAAATGGAGATGAAGAAGGCAGAAAGAGTGGTAATAGTTAAGCCAGTTGCCTCGAGGCCTTCCTGTTCGGGTTTCAGGACATTTACAGAGCTTCTGACCAAATCTGTCACTCTCTCTCCAACAAAGAGGTTCCATGAAACCGTTGTCTCGGCTATAAAGCCGAAGACTGCAAGAGTTTCCCCCTTGTTTCCTCAACCACGGGTGATTTCCTCGATCCAAGCTAGCTCGATCGGTATCTTCTTGTTCTTTCGATCTCGATTCTTGATTGTTTGGTTTCCGTCTTTAAAATCTGTAGGGTGAAGTCTCTTCTGATGATCAAAGAGCAACCGAAAGCTTTGTCGTGTATAAACCTAAAGCAAAGGTTGTCTCCAAGGCAACGATCTCCGTTCTGGCGAAGATGGTAAGTCGTTATGGACTTCCGTTACAATCTGGATGAGAAAAAAAAATCATCCTTTTTATCGTTTTTTTCTTTCGTAGCTTCAGGGAAAGGTCAGTGTAGATCATCGTCAGGGACCCTTGAAACAAAACGAAGTGCCGTTGCAGAATTCGAGCCGAGATGGTAGACAGTGTTTCCAGAAAGTTCCGACCTTTGCAGAAGCGGAAGCGAATGCTAGATCATCCGAGACGTCGACGGGAGACCGGTCCTCTCTCGACGGGTATAACTGGAGGAAGTACGGGCAGAAGCAAGTGAAAGGAAGCGAGTTTCCGAGGAGTTATTACAAGTGCACGCACATAAACTGTCCGACGAAGAAGAAGGTCGAGAGTTCATTGGATGGTAAGATGTCAGAGGTTGTGTATCAGGGCGAGCATAATCACCCGAAACCTCGGCTTCCCCCGAGGAGCAGCACTTCCTCTAGAGGATCAGCCCGGGAGGATCCCGTCGGCTGTCCTCCTCGGAGGAATATGACAGGGTCAAGTGTTTCAGCGGCTTCTGGCTCGGCTGTTAGAACTTCGGATTCTTGTTGTCGGAGCGGCGACCATGATGGAGAAATCGAAGGACTTTATGGAGAGCTTGATGACCCAAAATCCAAGAGAAGGTAACCGATGCCTTGTCCGGGATTGCCACGTAATTTCCCGATGATAATAGGGAATCAACTCTTAATATAATTAAGTTTACATGTTTTTTTTTATCCATTGTAGGAAGAACGAGCATCGAACGAGGGAAGCGGGCGTGTCAGAGGAGGGTTCGGTGGATTCGGAAGCTCTTGAAGACGGCTTCCGTTGGAGAAAATACGGACAGAAAGTCGTCGGAGGAAACCCTTTCCCCAGGTCCCGGCCTCCATTCATGTGTTGATCGAATCTGATTACTGGCACTGTTCTTGTTTCTGCTCTCCGTTACGTGTTCTTGTTCTTGATCAAATAACCTGACAATATTCTTGTTCCTGTTCTTGATAAGATCTGTTTCCTGACAGTACTCTTGTTCTTGATCATTGGTCAGGAGCTACTACAGATGCACGAGCAGTGGTTGCGGAGCAAGAAAGCACGTAGAGAGAGCGTCCGATGATCCGGCGGCTTTCATTACAACCTACGAAGGGAAACACACGCACCAGATGCCCTTCCGACACGCTCCCCCACAAGCAGACATACCAAGAATCTTCTAGAAGCATCCTGAAGATGAGAGTTCACGCAAAAACATCGATTATATATACGTATTTTTTAAATATAGATTTATTTGTAATATGTTCACATTTAAACGTTATGATAATATGCTAAAGGACCGTCTCATACTACGTTATTTGAAATTTCAAATGATTTCTTTCTTTTATCCTTGACCTTGGCAAACTTTATTCATCAAATCGTTCAAATTTGATCAAATAATATATAATCGTTTAAGAGATATTAGGGTGAGTTCTTTTTTTTTCATATGATTTTTTAAGAATCTTTCATGTCATTTGGGTTTCTGATTTGGTCATAGAACGTCCTTTCCTAATTTAGTTTAAACTGAATGAAAGATTAAAATTTTCAATTAGAAAACAATTTAATTGGAATTGAATCTAAATCCGGAATACGGATTTCTATTTGTTGTCAAACCTCAAAAAGGAAAAGAAAAAAAGGGTTTGGATTTGACATGAAACTATATTGGAAGACACGAGAGATGAATGGAGAGGAGGACATGCCACTGTTACACTTGTGATACTTTACTCCAAAATCTGACCAATTCATAAGCTTGGATGCATGTATAGGTGGTATAGGTGGGGTATGTATATATATACATATATCTAATATTTTATAAAGCAGAAACATAACAATTTTAAAATTTATAACCAATGGAATGGAACATATATATATATATATAACAAAGTTTTTTTTTAGTTAAAAAATTTATAACCAATGCATGCCTCTTCTCTCCTCAATAACACCAATGCATTGCCTATCCTTTATATTGTCACATGCATTGCTCTCTTTCTGTCTTGGCTGATATCTTCTTTGAACCTTTTCTCTCGCATCTCTTAATGGCATTGAGCATTTTTTTCCAAGATATCAAGAGTGGGTAGTATTTTAGAATATTATCATAATATTTAGATGTAATTTTATTTTTATATTTTAGATATTTATATTAATTAAATAAGATATTATAAAATTATGTGTTTTTTATCTATAGATATTATAATGGTTTATATTAAATAGTGAAAAATTAAACGATTATCTACTCTCGCATGTCTTAATGGCATTGAGCGTTTCCCTCATCGCTCGCCATGTCCTCTCTTTGTCTGTTCCATTGATCTGCATCATCATCATCGTCATCTTCCCTCTTGAGCTTGTTGTTGGACTGGAAAATTACTCAGGTGATGTTCTTCATGACTTGTGCTTGAAGCAACACTAGTTTTACTACCACAACGGATATCTTCGAGTTTTGCACTCCTATTCTCTACAGCAGAATGCCCGTTTGCAGTGACTTGATCCTCTTCCAGATCATCGCAAACACGAGTTTTGTCCGGATTTGTGATCTGGGTATTGGCTTCTTGATCGTTTTCCTTTGATGACACTACGGATGATACACAAGAAGCTGCAGACAGTTCAGCTGAACTCGATTGATCCGATCTCTCGATATTGCGAGACCCATTTAAAGATTCGAGCTTTTTCATCAAGAATCCGAGTCTCCTCTCTGCCCTTTCCCTTAGTTTGATCTCTTCTTTGAGATTCGCCTCTAACTCTGCTATCTGCAAATAGAGCACATTGTATGTTTAAACCATATAAACAGAGAAAAGCCATAAAGATCTAAACTTTATAGTTCTTGATCAAACCCGTATAACTCCAAAGCGTATAAAAATGGTTCCTTTTGTGTTCTTAACCATATTCGATGAAAGAAACATGAGGCTTCATCTTCTTAAGGGACATTTTGGGATCAAATGGAGGGAGAAATTAAAAAAGAGGGTACCTTTATGGTCATGAGCTCTGCTTCTTCTTTAGCAGTCCTTGAATCATGTCTCTCTGCTAGTAATCTGCCTCTTAGACACTCCACTGTTCTCAAACCTTCTTCATCTTTTTCCATCTTCTCACTCGTACAATTTGTTCTTTCATCCATGGAAATGAAACCGAATTTCTCAGTCTATACAATATGTATGTGTATATATATATATGTGTGTGTGTGTGTTCTTCTATAAAGAGAGAGAGAGAGAGAGACCTGCATTGTGTATTGTCATTGTAGGCATGAATCAGCATTATGTCTCCTTTATTCAATCACCAGAACCAAGCCTTTGAAGCTTATATCTCTCAACAGCAGAAATAACCGCAAAATAGAAAATAATGTGTCATTAAAATTACATTTACTGTTTTACTCAGAATATCGACATCATATATATATTTTTTTAAAACTCCATTACTGAACTCTACTTACCTGAATCTTATTCCAAGGGGTAATATCAAGAAACCCAAACCAGAACAGATTAGAGATTTAGAAACCCCAAAACTGTAAGAGGGGAGTGAAATTGCACCCACAAGAAAAAAAAAACTTTTAATTTAAAAAAAAAATCAGAGAGAGGAATCTTGGTTAGTGACAAGAAAGGACAGTGGGGGTTTGGACTCTTGGCAACTTTGTTAATTTGGAGGAGACATTCATCTTCTTCAAGTCCCCGTGAGCCCGTTTATAATTTTTTTTTTTTGGGAATCATTTTGTGGAATAAATTAAGTTGTGAAATAGATTAAGCTTTCACCGTATTTTTTTAAAAATCTTTTTTTTTTGCAATAACCTTGTTTGTGTTGTCGTGATTTCTGAAAAAAAAAACAATTTGAGTTTTTTTTTGAATCTTTTCAAATTGGATTAAGATTCAATTCCAATTAGGAGAAATATTAAAACAATATTTTCTTTCGATTTTTTTCATATCAGATTCAATTTGGTTAATGTGGTTTTGAAAAGTTATTAATCCAGTTTAATTCGTATATATATATATATATATTTGTAAAGAATAATCATTAAATATTTAGGGTAACCGACCATATATCGTACCCCACGTATGTTTTGCCACAAACTTTATTACACGCCTTGTGGGGGGCAATATACATTATTGCAGATGTTAAATATTAAACCCAATAACCATATATATATATATATATATATCCACCCAACATCATTTCGATTTTATATATATTAATGTTATATTTGTAATTTGTAACTGTTGCTTCTTCATAGTTTGAAAATTGTAACTCGTGAATATGAAGATAATGCCCTCTTTAACTCTCTCTCTCTTTTTTTTTTAAAAAAATCTTTTTGTTTGTTTTGTTCAGTTAGATTTTACCATTTTTTGTCTCTTTTTTTTAATTATTTAATTTAATTAATGAAAATTAGTATTGATTTTGTATATATCCAATAAAACTAAATAAATACCCCGTGTTTTTATATAATTTATTATATATCAATGTCTCCGATAATAATTTTGTTCACATCCACCCCCCTAACCATAACCATGTATCTACAACCAATTGGTTATTATGAAAGGAAAAGATATTTATATAAGAGTATGTAGATATATATTTGCTTGCACTTCACTCGTAGAGACATAATTAGGAAAAGCCCTCCAAATTGCGTGATTTCTAATATATATATATATATATATATATATATATATATAAAGTAAAGAATATAGAAGTTTGAAGCAAACTCTCGTGATCATATAAACTATGATCCATTCCCTCTCTCGCCGCCCCCACCATTTAAATCAAAATGTTCATCATACTTGATGCTCAAACAAAATAGCGACAAACTATAATCACTAAAACATAAAATTAATTAATGTACGTTGAAACTCGAAAATTAAGATATTTTTCATAGTAATCGAAAACTCGTGATGAATTTTCTTTCGATCGATAACCAGAATAGTATGTTGTATACATAAAATTATAAAATAGTGAAAAACTCTAATATGTATATTGGTTACCCTACATAAAATCGGTTTTTCATTGTTACATGAAAAATGTGAGTATATTAATACTATTGTCACTAGGTAGAACAATATACAATAAATACTTAAAATGGTCATAGTGTATCTATTGTTATTTTTATTTATACCGTGAAGTAGGAGAGTGCATTTTGGTTCGAAAATTTAGTTCTAATCCGATCCGAAAACTTTCGGTTCTAATTTAGTATATTTTTTTTATAGAATCGAATAAATCGTTCCTAAATCGAATCGTTCAAATACCGAATCAAACCAAATAAATACCGAAACAAAATCCGAATTATCGACTAATATAGTTGTAAATATTATAATTTGGTATTTGTTTGATATTCATATAATGATACCACTTCGACCCGAAACGACACTAAAATCTAACTGAATCGAAGTTTAACATTAGATTCTAATTTGATATAATTTTTATCAGACTGAAAAATACCGTTTCTGAACCGAAACATATACATCCGTCAAGGTAGATATCTTTCATTTAATAAAAAATTATTTTGAACGGAAACTTAACTCAAAAATTAGTGTCATGGAGAGAGAGAGTAAAGATAAATGAAGCCAATTAATTTTCAAATGATGACATGATTCATTCAGGGAGGGTTATTCAAGATTGTGACATCTTAATCTATTCGCAAACAAATTTGATATTTTCAATAAATAGAAAAATTATTTTGAATTCAATAATTACATGTTGTGGAGTTGAGGCTTCATTTATTAATATTTGAGAATAGTTCAGAGGATTTAGATTGATTAACGTCGTCTTAAGCAATTTAATTAGTCAACTAATTAATCTTAAAAGTAAAATCCGAATTGAAAATAAATAATCACCTTGAGGCGCTTTGATTTGGCCATCTGTCGATTCCATCGCCCATAATCGGTGAAATTTGGTTTAGCGAACCAGGAAAAGACACGTGGCTCTTCACACGTACGGACAAGCCGTCCGTGATCGGTCGTACGTGCCACGTCATCTTATCGTGCTTGGCAGTTACGGATGCTGTTTGGTGGCACTTGTCCGAATATTTTAAGATTTGCTTTTGGGAACGATCTGATGCTTTTTATTTCGACCTGGTCTACCACTTGCTTTTTATATTCTTCTTGTATCGACCGCTCATTATTTTATTCGGTTTGTGATTTTAATTTTTTGGGCGCATGAATTATTATACGATTTATGTCCCGCAGGTTTAGATCCAAGACCATGTTCTGGTGATTATATATTTCACACTCAATAATCAGTTGACATTTAATAAAATAAAAATAAAAATATTAAATTAGATATCTATAACAAATGTACGGCCGAGAAAAGAAGAAAAAAAACCATAACAAGTGTATCAAATATGATGATGATGAAGAAAAATACAAAATCCAACAGTATCAAACTTCCCCAGATAAAATAAAACATCAAAAGGCTTCTTCTTCTTCTTCTTCTTCTTCTTCTTCTTCTTCGTGTTCGTCATGTACAGATAAAAAACAGAGAGAGGGAAAAAAAATTCATCGAGAAGAGAAAGAGAGAAGGAGATGGTGGAGATGGAATGGGATGAGATTTTGGAAGAGTATGGGTGGGTGATGGAGTTTCTGAAGGGGATGGTGAAGCCGGCGGCGGCGCTCGCTGTCGTTCTGATGGCGGTGGCTCTCTCTTACGCTCAGAAACTGTCCTTGGAAGGCGAGATGATCTATTCGATTTTCCGAGCCTTCCTTCAGCTCTCCGTCATCGGATTCGTCCTTCAGTTCATCTTCGACCAGAAAAACGCCGGTTGGATCATCCTCGCTTATCTCTTCATGGTCAGTCTCCCTTTTGAATTCCTCCAAAATTTCAAATCTCAGAATCTGGAGTTTCGTAGAAGATCCAACATCTCGTTTGGATTTTTCCTTTTTTAAAAAAAAAAATTGTAAAACACAGAGAGCGATTAAATCTCTCGTCTGAATTTGTTCTGAAATTCAAATTTCAAAAAAAAAAACAAGCTTAGGAGTTGAATTTCACATTTCCTTTGACGTGGCCGGAAAAGGTGATCGTGGCGGGATACACAGCCGGAGCAAGAGCGAAGCACGTGCCGCGCGGGAAGTACGTAGCGGGAGTGTCGATACTGGTGGGTACCGCGATCACGATGTTGCTGCTGGTCGTCCTGAACGTGTTCCCGTTCACTCCACGCTACATAATTCCGGTCGCCGGGATGATGGTCGGAAACGCCATGACGGTCACCGGAGTCACCATGAAGAGACTCAGAGACGACATCAGGATGCAAAGGAGTCTGGTACGTGCCTAGGAATTGGTTTATTACGCCATTTTCAAAACCAACCAACACGTACCCGACTTAACCGGACCGAATTCTCGGTTTAAAATTTCAACCGAAAGGTAGATAATTTTAGTATTATTATTATCATCAGGTCTAGAAAAATATTAAACTTGCAAAAAATGTACCATAAAATAATTCTAAACATCTCCATCTTTTTCTAATATGATGCTTCATACATATAAAATGTCAAGAAAATAAAAAAAAATAAAACTATATATATATATATAAATTGTTTTTCGGTTTTATAAAAAATGTACTAAATTAGAATCGGATGTTAAACGGTTCCTTAATCAAAACGTTCACCCCTAATAAACATGCACAACAGGTGGAGACGGCGTTGGCGTTGGGAGCAACGCCACGGCAGGCGACGCAGGAGCAGGTGAAGAGGGCGTTGGGGATAGCGTTGTCGCCGGTGTTGGACAGTTGCAAGACGGTGGGATTGATATCGCTGCCGGGGGCGATGACGGGCATGATAATGGGAGGGGCATCTCCCCTCGAGGCCATCCAGCTGCAGATCATCGTCATGAACATGCTCCTCGGCGCTTCCACCCTCAGCAGCCTCCTCTCCACTTTCCTTTCATGGCCTTCCTTCTTCACCCGCGCCTACCAGCTCCAACTCTCCCCCCTCTCTCCCGACTGAAAATCAAACTCTTTCTGTTTTCTTGGTTAAAACCGAACGGTGCAAGAAGAAGAAAGAATCGATTGGTTATAATGGTATTTTGGTTTTGTGTTAATTATAAAAGGATAATTAAACCGTAATCAAACGTTTATGATTGAAAGAAATCATGCCCAACCAACACGTAATAGTAACAAATGCATGACTGGTTGTACCAGTTCGGTTGCGGTTACAAGCATCAATGTTTTCAGCGTGTGGCAGAAGATGTAATAAGACATCATGCCTTCAAGATCTTTCTATCAAACATATTTGGCAAAAATCTGAGCCAGCTCGGATCAAAAATCCAATCTTTCGCCCATTTCAAAGCTCAAACTCGTCGTCCCTAAGTGCACGGGCGGCAGCCTCTTCTTCTTCGTCGTCGAGAGCGAAGTACTCGTTCTTCTCCTCCGGCTTAAACACATAGAACATCACCATATAGAAGGCAAGACTAACTGCCTCCTCTGCAGCATAACTCACCCACTCATACTTATACGCCGCAATGGTCTTGAGGGCAAACACCACGATTCTCATGAAATACAGATACTCGATCACGACCATGTAGAATTGCCTGAACAATGTCAGCTTAGCTAAGTTCTTGGCCGCTTTACTATCTGTTTTCGATGTCTCCCTCAATGATCTAATCGACCATACAATGGGGAAGATTATGGCACAGCAGCAGATGATATCAACGAGCAAGAACACTTGGTTCCATGTAACCCAGTCCTTGATAAAGGGTCCTGTTTCTCCGATCACGATCGAAGCGATGTTGGCCAGAACCTGGAGCGGGATCACCATTATCAACACGTTCTTCTGCTTCTCCTGCAAAAAGGGCTTCAAAAACGACCAACAGGTATCGATCAGGATGAACACAGTGAAGAGCAGAACCACACGAATGAACTGGAAGATGTAGAAGAGGATGTCCCATCCATGGGGAGACCCGCCATTAGAAGATGGATCCGGTGAACGACCCGCTTGTTGGTCCAACAAGTGTAGCTCCGGAGAACCAGGAAGGAAATGTCACGTAAGAAGAAGAAAGAGTACAGAGACGGCAAATGGGTCGACCTTGCGGGCAAGTAATCCTTAGATCCGTTCGGATCCTTGTTGTACATCTCTGTCCGAACCGCCATGGAAACCTTGGTCTCCGGAGCGCAATTCGCGAAGAACAGAGAGTACGCGTTCGACGAAGTGACTCGGTAAGACTGGTTGAATCTCGAATTCGGAGGAGGAGAGAGATCTCTGAAGGTGAAGAGACGGATCACGTAGCGTGAATCGAGGACGCAGAATCTAGGGTTCTACTGGATCTCGAGGAGGACCTGGAGCAGAAACTCCTGGGAGAGGAGGAAGAACCCGAGACGATACGGGTCCGGATTCGGCCGACGGAGGATGATACGATGGAGACGGAGACGTGGCCGGTGTGCGTGAACCCGAACTTCTCGAAAAGAATCATCGGACGAGCATCGTCGGAGATGACAAGGGACTTGATCTCCGCCGCGGACGGAGGAAGACCGGCGAGGAATGCGGCGGCGAGAAGGAAAAGGATGACGACGGGGAAGGTCAGTTTCGTCATTTCGGGTCGTCGAAGAATTGACGCGAAGCGAAGGGTGGAGACGGAGACGGTGAAGGTGACGTGAAAACGAACTTCAGAAGTGCTTTCGTCTTTTTTGAAAAGTCTCTATGGAATTAACCCGCACGGCCCATGAGCCCAATAATGTCTCCACGACGTCGTTTTTAGAATATATATACATATATATGTATCCTCTTCACAGCCAAACCTTTGGTGAAATTTGTTCATGTTAGAGTCCAGCATTTCGCTTAGGCTGCACGTAATGTTCTTCTGTCTGAGGAACTTATAACGTGACTCAACCCTCTTCTTCAATCCATGGCGGAAGTATTCAGGATAATCAACCACTTCTTCCCCGGAATCTGGCCCTAGGTTCTTGTGAGTTCTTAATGCTTTTGATCAGAATTGAGGGATACCCAGTCACCATGGTTACAATGTCTGCATTTCCAAATCCGCATCTCTTGAGATAATCAAAGTTTGCTCTGAGAATCTTGTCAACATCTATGCATACCATTTCTGGGAAGTTCATTACTACCACTGCCTGAATACCCTCCTCCCTCGGACCAACCATCCAACGCAAGAACTCGGTGGTGGGCCGTAATCTATTCTCGACACTGTAACCCATGAGGAAATGATTCTTCATCAGAACTTTACCTATCATTCCATCATCTCTGGAAAGGCCAAGGCTTGAGAGAAAGTTTACCATCAGAGCAAGCTTGGTGTGGATGCTCAATACCGTAGCTGATGAGTCTTGGGTTCAAAAGAAGCATCTTTCCAAGCTGTTCCTCAGGCACTCCCAAGGCTTGGAACAAAACAAGAAGCGGGCAGAGTTTCTCCCCGACGCCATGAGAGAATATCTGAGGGAATGCAGAAGCAACCTCATAAGGCTTTGTTCCAAGCGTGGAGAGACACTGAACCCTCTCATGGAGGAGACGTAAAGTGAGGATCTTGGGGCATCTGGAGACAATGTGAGGGGGTTTTCTCTCTTGAATGCCGATGCTTTTCAAGTAAGGCCAGTTCTCAGATGCAATCTCACTTGGGGCTTCCTCCAAGTGTTTGCATTTTCTCACCATTTTGTGGATACTCTATTCGTTGAAGCCTTTTTCCTCGAAGAACCACATGATGCTTCTACCATTCTCACCGCTCATCGCAATTCTAGTGGAAACACAGTGATATTATATATGAACTGGAAACAGCCCAATTCTTCGTTGTTCCAGAAGAATTTGGTGATGGCTTGACCAGATTGGGAAAATATTTGGAGAGGCGAAGCAAAAAAGAAAGCGGTAGGGCTGCTAAACGGGTCACTGTTCGGGCCGAAACTGATCCGTATCATTTTTTTCAGCCCGTGTTCTGTTTTTTTGTGGCCCATTTTTACTCGGATGTATCATATGATCATGAGATTCAAGATCATCGCTAGGGTTCCAGTCACGAATCCAAAATCGCCATCTCTCGATTCACGACGCCGGGTTTTCATCACAGTTCGAAAGAGGCGGGAATATTTCTCTCTTCTATCTCTGGCTTCGTCGTCATTTGCAGGTGAATTCTGAAGAGTTGAACTCTTGGGTTTTATGAGGATTTGGGTTCTGGTGATTTCTGACTTAGCTTCCTGGGTTAACTTTCACTTGGGTTGTGCTCAAAATGGATACTTGTGCGAGTTCATCGATTTCCGATCATGGGTTTTTGGAAATTCGGAGTAGGGTTCTTGACACTGAACTGGTGGAAATGTGGTTGAAGATTTCGAGTTATTTATTCATTCTTGTTTTGTTTCCTCGAGCAGATAGTTTGCTTTGTGGTAATCCGTGTCCTATCTAATCAGTGGGATTGTGTTCGTGTATTGATTGCTTTTGCCTGTATGAGATTACATCTTTTTGTCATTGTGCTTTGCTGCGTTTGCCTGTTAGCTCTTGACGTTGTAGCTTCACCGGTGTTTAGAACTTGAGATTCTCCTTCCTTCCTTTGGCATGTCTACCATTGGAATTAGATTAATCTACTCGTAGAAGAAGCTTGAAATCTTTTTGTATGGTCAAGACTCAGTCTTTAATGATCTAATCCTTCACTAGACTCCGACTCAAAAGTGCTAGGCCAGCCTGTTCCCGTCACGTTTCCTGCTTGTGCAGTTGGCTAGGAACAAACTTGTGGTGTATTACACATCATCTCGTTTCTTTGTTTTATGTGAATCAGTTTGATGTTTCATGATCGATATCGGGCTCTGGTCTGAAAGCTGGTCTGTGATTGAGAAACAGCCACACTCTTTTCGGTTGAGAAATGGGACAAGATCAGTTCCTTTTTGGTCATTTTCTTTAGACTCGGTTTAGATTAGATCAAATACAGCCTCAGTTTGTAAGTGTGATTAGTGGTTCTTCATCTGAGAGATGCAAACATAACACAATGAATAAGTTTGGAGTATGGAATTATATAAGATTTTTCAACGGAAACCAACACGCCTGATCATCTAGTCTTGAGTTTTTCCCGTAATTGGATAACGAAAACAAATGCTGTAGTTGTACAGAGTCGAATGGATTTGATTACTTTGTTTATAAATGTGTATAAATGTTCTTTCCGGTTGAGAAATGGGACAAGATCAGTTCCTTTTTGGTCATTTTCTTTAGACTCGGTTTAGATTAGATCAAATACAGCCTCAGTTTGTAAGTGTGATTAGTGGTTCTTCATCTGAGAGATGCAAACATAACACAATGAATAAGTTTGGAGTATGGAATTATATAAGATTTTTCAACGGAAACCAACACGCCTGATCATCTAGTCTTGAGTTTTTCCCGTAATTGGATAACGAAAACAAATGCTGTAGTTGTACAGAGTCGAATGGATTTGATTACTTTGTTTATAAATGTGTATAAATGTTTTCTGTAATTTTGATTGTACTGAATGTGTAGGCTCTCATCACATCTTTAGGTTATAAAATGTCCGAAACATTTGTAAATGCTGCAAACTAAAGAGCACAAATACACATCAAGTGTTGTTCCTTTGATTGCATTAAGATTTATAACCTTTTACTCGGATGCTTGTTATTTAACTTAGATGCTCGCTGATAGTGTGTGCCTTCTCTATTTGCCTTGTTATTTATATGTATCAGCAGCATGCTGTGGAAAAAAAAACTGAGAAAAACAGCCACTAAAGAGGATGTATCCTCAGATATAACACTTACCCTCCAGAAATCATTTACGATGGCAACTTTAATCATTTGGTTTGAGCATCAGATCAGGAAATTGTGTATGAAACTCGTGCTTTCTGTCCGTATCTATGACATAACGTAAGATTTTCCGATTTTCTGGTCTAAAACTCAGTCGTTCTTTGTTTTGTAAAATGGCTTGTAGGGAAGAAAATGTCTGATACCAAGGTGGTGGCCTCGGAGTCTTGATAACCGCACGGCTTGTTCTAAAACCCTAACATTGGAAGCAGAAATGATGGCACCCTCGTACTTGAGAGGCGTCATTCTTGGGAAACAGATGGTGAAAAAGGTTCCGACTTTGACACCGGCAATGCAAATAAGGCGCTTAATCTCCTCGGGTCATAATTCATATGGTCAACAGCCTCCAGAGCCATTACCCAACAGACCCTTACGAGGGGAAAGACCTCATCAACCCAATTCCGACCACTCCTTCCTCAAGCAGTTCAAGCTCCAGAATCGAAAGGAAACACCCGTGAGGGAGCAGCCACAAAGCCAGCCATTGCCACCCCCACCTGAAGATGCCAATGAGATATTCAAGAAGATGAAGGAAACAGGTCTCATTCCCAATGCTGTTTCCATGCTGGACGGCCTCTGCAAAGACAGCCTTGTCCATGAAGCCATGAAGCTTTTCGGGTTGATACGTGAGAAGGGTACCTTGCCCGAGGTTGTGATCTACACTGCTGTCGTGGAAGCCTTCTGCAAGGCTCATAATTTCGAAGAGGCAAAGAGGATATTCAGGAAAATGCAGAACAATGGTGTAAACCCGAATGCCTTCAGCTACACTGTGATGATCCAGGGATTGTACAAATGCAACAAAGTAGATGATGCTGTTGGGTTTTGTGTTGAGATGCTCGAAGAAGGTCACTCTCCAAATGTTGCGACTTTCGTGGGATTGGTTGAGATGCTGAGCCGAGAGAAGGGTGTCGAAGAGGCCGAGGCTACCGTAGATATCTTGAAGCAAAAAGGGTTTGTGGTGAACGCAAAAGCTGTGAAGGATTTCATGGAGAAAAAGGCTCCCTTTCCCTCTTTGGCTTTCCAAGCCATTTTCAAGAAGAAACCAAATGAAAAGCCTTTCTGAGTGTGTGATGAATACTCTGTCTCCATCAGAGGTTTCTTGACTTTGTATGGAGGAAAAAAACACATTTGTTTACCTTTTTAATCTTTTCCTCTATTTTTTTGGATCCCTAAATCTATCATACATAAGAAAGAACCCGAAGCAAGCCATACTAACGAATTCCATTTGGTGTTTCACCCTTCCAATGGTTGTTCATAAATGATTTTGGTTGTTAGAAGATCACCATGTTGACAAAGAATTATATATATATTTTCGGATAATTGACATAATTTTTATTTTTCTGGTATTCTGATTAACAATATTGTTTTTAATAAGCAATTTTGTTTATTAAAAATAGGAAATGTAAAAAAAAAATAAAGTGAAAGGCATTTTGCATATTATAACATGGTAGTAGGAGTTGTGAGGAGCTCAATGATTGAAAAAAAAAAAGAAGCCCGCTCGCCTTTTTAGGGACTTGGGCTGTGTATACATTAAAAGATGCATATATGTATTAAGTTTTCTAATGAAAACGAGACCAATATTATGTTGAAAATTACGAACGTTTTATATAATTCTCAAGATTAAAGTGTTAATGTTGTGATAATCGTATAATCAAACATATGTGAGGATTTTTATCACAATATTTATTTTTTCTAATACAAGATTTATATGAGAAATTTAGAAAAGTAACTATGTTATTTATTTGTATTGGAAACAAATAATATACAACATTTCTATGTATCTAAATTTAATACGAACACAATCGTACGAGAATTTGAATAAAAATGAATTTCCTAAAAAAATAGATTTATTTAATTGTAATTTGCAATATGAGTTTCTATGGATTTTAGAAACAGATATAATCTCATTTGAGGGTTTATGTACGAATGGTTTTGTCTCGAATGAAACAAAGCGGAAAGGGAAGAGTCAGAGAAAAAGAAAAGGTTCTCTCCCTCCACCTCCCACAATTATTACCCTTTTGAGATTTAAAAAAAAAATTAACTTTTTTCTGTGTAAAAAACTCTCTTCTTCCACCCTTCACGTGATGAATCTTTTGGCCCAATAAAAAGGGAAATAAAAATACTTTTTTATAAAAAAAAACTATAATAGCAATATATTAAAATACGAAAACAATTAACTAGTTATAGAAAAAATTATGATGAAAAAATTTTCTATTACTTTCATTATCTGGATTACAATTTTTTAGGTATTCACATTGCATACGGACCAATAATGATAAAATAAATAAATAACCATAAAAAGATTCAGTTTACCACAGGTTTGACCAATTTGGACCATGAGAGAGAGAGAGAGATATTAAATTACTAATTAAAATTAAGGGATTATTAAAGACAAAATTAAAGGCTAAGCTTTGGGCAGATCGCTTTTTCCCCAATGAGGTCAACACCTTCTCTCTATATCTATTTATTTATTTATTTACAAAACAAACCTAGTAAAATTTTTAATATGTTGGTGTTTGGATATCGTTGTCGGTATAATTATGTTTTACCAACAAAAAATTATAACGTTTTTTATATAGACGGAACAATGTAATCTTTTTCATTAAAAAATAAAATAAATTACATCAGAACAAACACGTAAAAAATATTCATTATACATCTTTACAAATTCCCACAAAGAACATTAGATTTTGTTTTTTTTTTCAAAAAGGAAAATGATTGAATATTGTACCGAAATAATATTTTGTACATATTTAATTGCAATTTATGTGAAACACAAAACAAACTACACTCGTATCCAAACTCAGTAGTTCTTTCCTTGTCGGAGACTTTATAATATAATATCTACGTGTCTCCTTCTTGATCGGAACACGTATGAACTCCAACGTAAATTAATAATACGTTAATATATATATATATATATATATATATATATATATATATAAAATATTGAAAAACGTTGAAGCTTTGCCAAGGAAGAGCATATGAGGAGAGAATATAACCCATTGAGAACTTCCAAGTAGATCCACAACATCCCATATCCATCAAAATCTAATTGACCCTTTTTTAATTTATTATTTTTTTGTTGAATAAATATAAATGGAATCAATATGGATCTTTGAATTCGAATCACTGAAGACTCCACAGTACAAAACAAATAGAACAGTCTCATTATCATCCTTTTTTGTCTATTTTCTCATTTATTTTATCCTTTATAATTTATTTTGTGTTCCAAAAGGTCCATACATTCACAAAACATCTCAAATTCAAAGTATCTAAGTCTCATAGAGGTTTCGATTTCTTTTCAATCGAATTTATGGATCACAATTTCTATACACATTTTTAAAATATTTTAGCTTAAAATTCCATCCGAGCAATAGATTTTATATTTATTCATCCGAGAAACTTAATAGATACATTTGCTCGAAGAATTTTGGAGCTACATTCCTTTCATTTGAATTTCTTTGTTTGGATTATTTAGTTGCATGTTTTTTTTTATAACCAAGAAGTTCACTACTTAATCCCTTAGATTCGAAATCAGTTTTTAATCACGTAATTAATTATGTATCTCCTCTCCACTAATAAAATCAAACCAAATATCTTGAAATGACGTTGTCACCTTTCAATCACTAAATTATCAACTAGTAAATTATTTGGTTGCATGTTATTTCAAACAGAAGAATTATTTTATGAAATATATGAAATATCTTTAACACATTTTTTTGTTTTATTTATAAAATTAGTTTCTTTTCACATTTTTATTCATCAATGTATTAAATCTTTCAGCAAGCTAAAAGGTAACTGAAAATTTCATAAAATTTTATGAATCTTTTTAATCCACAAAGTCAAACTCTTTAGCACATTATTTTTTATCGTGATAAATATTATATTTTGAAGGTTTTATTCTGGTGTATTTTTACTTTTCTTTTGTTCCAACCATAGGTTTAATCGCTTGTGTAAGAATTTGCCAAATATTTTATAACGATTTAAATTATTAAAAAAGTCAAGATTTTATAATATATTTGTTTAGTCCATAATATCAAAGTTTTTAAATAAAGAAATCTATATAATTATTGTATCTTGTTGTTTTTATCCCATATAACAACAATATTACAAAAAAATACAAGTTTTATTGCCATTTTACCCTAACCCAACATAATCAAATGATAAAAAATATGGATAACACCTAAAACAAAGTATATCGTCTATGAATATTGTTAAGTTTTATACCATGTTAAAATTGAATCTAGAAAAAGTAAAAAAAAAATGAAATTTATGTTTTTTTAGACTAAAGCATTTGTTTTTATGGAATAAAAAAAATACTTCACTAACTTAATTTTTTTTCCAATAATCTAAATAAATATCAGAAATTTTTTATTGGGTTTTCCTAATTCAATCTTTTAATTTGTTCGCTTGTAAATTGATTTCTCATATATCACTTCATCCGCACAAAAGATCGAATATCTATTTCTAAAAGTTTGATTTTTTCGGTGAATTACAACTTCGTATATATATATATCTTCTTTTCACCATGAGACCAAATAGTTTTGTACAAATAGACATACAACACCAACAATGAATATCAAAACCCACTAAAAAAATAGAATTACGTTACACGAAAAATATACATATGAAATAGAATCTTTAATTTTAATCGCTTGAAATTGAATTTAACCATAAAATAATAAAATTTGTAAGATACGTGACTGAGAATTGTTTTCTAATGACACCAAGTGGCACTGACATACTTCACATACACAAACATGTGCGTGTATGTATGTATATATATATATATATTTCTGATTAGGAAAATTTTTATATTGGAAAATACCTACAAAATTACCGATTTTCCCCAAGAAATCAGAAATGGTTCAAAAGGCCCCATCGCAGAGTGTACGCGTCAAAAAAAAATCTTCGGTCAATGACTGCCACCCACGGAACAACCTGACAAAATTCAATTCTCTGTTTAATGTTCCTTTCATTTTTGCCCCACTTCTTTAAGTTCATTCAAAATTACCCCTCTTTTAAATTGGATCGCAGCGAATCTAATTTATTTGATATTCGGGGTTTGTAACTGTGATTAAGCTACATAATTTTAGATATCAATTATAGTAAAATGAGAAAGTGTGTCGTTATTTCGGTTTTGGGTTAAAATATTTCAATTTTCACTAATAAAATAGTTTTTTTTTCTTTCATAAATGTTCATTTTTCATTATCATCCTATTTAATATAAATTCGATTAAAACAATTCTATGCCATTGATTTAGATTCAATTCGATTTAAGTATAATTATTTTGGATTCTAATCATTTTTTTAATTAACAACTTTTATACGTAAATAAAATAAGCTAATTTTATTTCATTTAAAATATACTAATTCAAATTTTATATCAAAATCGATTTCAACAATTATATGTTATTCCATGTAGAATTAAACTCAAATGATTATTCATACTACAAACTCACAAATTATATAAGTGTTCAAACAATACTTACACACAAAAATATATAAAAATTTGTAATATATGCGTGAAGTGGAAAACATTTGGGTGGGACATTATTTTAAATACGAAGATAAGCGATGGCCAGAAATCAAATCTTTTTTTAAAAAAAATGTTACATAATTTGGATGTATTATGCACTTTTTTTTCAAAATTTAAGAGACATATTATTTAAAACATGTTCATCCAAATCGAAAAAGGCATCCATTAATATAAATAATAAATAGATAATAAATAATTCCACGCCTATAGCGACGCGGACTGGGCTGGAGATCCAGGAGACTTTAAATCCACCGGCGCATACGTTGTCTACTTCGGTACTTTCCCTCCCCCAACCCCATGAGCTCTTCTCCACGGTCCCCAAAATCTCACATCTAACCACAAACATTCAGAGATTCAGAGTTATCTATATACATATACATATATATATATACACACACAAATACAGTTACACATTTTCACAAATATATACACACGCATATATATATACGGGTTTGCATGAAATGGAGCCAATAAAACAAGGTGAAGCCAGCAATGAAGATGATGAGTACATAGACATGGACGTGAGTTGCTGCTCCTCTTCTTCTTCTTCTTCGACGGCGTCGTCTTCTGGGTTCATTAGCTTCTCCGTTAGCTCGCCGCCGCACATCCGAGAGTTTGAGTTCCAGATGTGCTCCTCCGCCGCAATCTCCGGTGAACCCGCCACTTCTCCGGCGGACGAGCTCTTCTACAAGGGCCAACTTCTCCCTCTCCACCTCCCTCCCCGCCTCCGAATGGTTCAGAAGCTCCTTGAGTCCTCCTCCGCCGTCGACGGAACTACCTCCTCCGCCGCCGCCGCAGCCGCGTCCTCCGCCGTCATCTCTCCGTGCGAGTCCCGGAGAGTGAGCAGCAGCGAGATCGTGACAAACCCAGATGAGAATTTCTTCGAAATCTCGACGGAGCTGAAGAGTTTCATCGAGAATGAGAATCCAAGAAGCACTTGGAGCAAGAAGATCAAGCAGTCGTCATTGACTCAGAAGCTCAAAGCCTCACGCGCTTACATCAGGAGCTTCTTCTCTAAACCAGGATGCTCGGACTCCGAAATCGATCCAAAATCGAAACTTGGAGGCCCCAGATCCTCGAAATCGTCGAAGAAGAAGAACCCATTTGTAAAAAACGAATCTTTCGACGAATTTTCCATCAATCGAGGTTCAAACAACATCCACAGGAGATCGTTCTCGGGAGTGATACAGAGGCATTGCCAGACAAAGTGTTCATCTTCTAGTTCATCGTGTTCGTCATTGTCTTCTTCGTTTAGCTTCGGATCAAATGGGTCTTTGGATCTGCAGGCGCTGATGAGAAGCAGCAGCGCAAGCTCTGAGACTGATAACTCCATTGAAGGAGCGATCGCGCATTGCAAGCAGTCGTTTAGCCCAAGAAAGAGTAATGTGAGTGAAGCCGAGTTATGTTCTTCGAGAACATCTGTCTCTGGGGAAATATGAAAGGATCGAACATTCTAGAATTTTGAGATCCTCTGATTCGCAAAGAAGACACCACGAAAAGGCCCAGAGAACAAAAAAAAAAAGAACATCTTTTTTCACTCTGTCTATTTTTTGTGTGTAATTTTTTTCTCTTTTGAAAAAAGTTGATTAGGGTTTCTCGTTTTCTTTGTCAAACTTAGTGCATGCAGATGATAATGTTAATTTGCTAATTGGATTGCCTTGTGTTGATAGAGAGGGTTTGAACAGAGCTCTTTGTCTTGCTCGCGATGTGTCAGTTTGAATTCAAAGACTTTCCATTTTATATGTACAGTTACAGACAGACCAAATCTCGAATCACCATACAAGAAAACTAGTGTTTGTAACTTTGTTTTAAATTATTAGTTACACATTTAAAATAACGTGTATTTTTTTTTCGTGAATAAAATTTCCGGGTTCAGAAAATAAGGAATCGCTGTCTCACACCTTTGTAACAAAATAAGAATGATTCAGCTGAATGCTTCACGAATTCTCGTGCATCTAAATTTAAATAGATAAATAAATAAATAGCTGAATTTGTGTATCCCAATTCGGTCAGAAAAATGGCAGTGTAATTTTTGTGGAAGTGAGAATAATAATCATATTAAAATTATGTGATTGGTTAGATCATAGAACCATCTTTTAAAAAATGTTAGAAAATATGTAGATGCTATCAACCCATTGAAAAGGACCAAGTTTATTATGAAACCATAACTAGGTTAAATTTCACACCCAACGAAAATTTCTTTCAATTGAACCATTAACTCTCAAGAATGGGGTTTATGTCGTGTGAAATTTCATGATCAATTTCACCAGAACACTAACCCCCAAAACAAATTTATTAATCTTTTTATATATATATATATATATATATATATATATTTGGAATGAAA